TATTTGCTCTAGTTCTGATGTAATTCTACTTTGTGGCACAGAAATTTGGTATCTTCAGTGATTTTACAATGAATGATATTTGTTGGAAGGTCTACGGTTTGAGTCAGGTTATTCCTTTTTTGTAGCCTAATCACAGTCGAATGTTTAAACATTAAAAAACTGTGGTTTCATATTTGAAAGTAATATCCACTTATGAAAATGAGATAGTCATAGTCCGAAGGAAACAACCTGTATAGTCTAATATCTAAGAAGTATAGTAATAGGTTTTCTGAAATGTTCTCTATGCATTTTTTTAAAAATGTAAACTTGACATTTTAGGGTCTTCAGTTATAAATACACCTGTTATAAGGTGTTTAATATAGCTCAGGAAAGTGAGCATTTTGTGGGAGAAATGTGTGGCATAGCTCAAGAGATTGGTTAAATGTTTCAAGTGGTATGAAACTGTTTTAGAAATTAAGATATAAATTATCAGAGTACTTTAAAACACTGATAAATGTTGCAGTGGTTACTAAGGATGGCATGGAGAGCCAGGGTCAACTCTGAAGGAACCAGTGGAATAGAAAGGTAGTATTTAGCTTTGTCTGAACCTTAGGTTTTCTGTGAAATGTGCTAAACCATGTGAGTTCTTTTCTGTTATATCACTAATGTTTGTGGTCCTGAGGCATTGTATATAAAGGAATGGTTTAATCTTTTTTATCTTTGTTTAAACTAGTTTTAACTATTAGACAATTTAAATGAAAATCCTATTTAAAAGCCAATTTGAAATAATTAAAAGTAGAACTTTATAAATTGTTGATGAACAGTTTTCATGAAAGAATGTTATTCTCTGGTGAATTTTAGTGATGGCTTATGCTTTAATTTTGGAATTACATAGCTACAATACAACTTTAAAAACCAAAAGATGTATCTGTACAGTTCAGAAACACTAAATACTAAATTATATATATATATATATGTTCATAATAATTTTTAAGTAAATATTACTCAGTGAACTGGAACATTTTGATAGAAAAATATCTGCAGTTTTGTGTTGTTAATTTGGTTGAAACTGGTATTTTATATTATTTAAGTTATGTAGCTTTTCATATTACTTTCATATGAATAAAAGTAAATTCTAGTAGAATGTAAAAAATACTAAGTCTTGTTTATAGTTTCTTTTCAGATATTGTATGATCTTGGATTCCGGGCAGTAGTGCCGTAGATGTCTCTCCTGAGAGAAATTAGAAGTGAATTTACCAGCAGAATACTTGAGTGCCTGAAATGGCTCTCTTGAGTAGTATGACTTTTAGAAAGTACCCTGATAGTTATGGAAGCTAACAGTCTTCAAACAGATGAGCTTCCTGAGAATAAAACAAAATGTGGCTTTCTATACAATTTACACTTTTCAAAAGTGATGGTATCCTTTCAACCACACACAGATGAGAAGAGGACTGACTAGATAGAGCTCAGCGTTAGAAGCGGCTGTTAGAATATTTCCCTCTTACTAAACAGTAAGAGTTCCAAGAATACTTTTGCTAGTTTTTTTTTTTTCAACTTTGGGAAATGGATTTGATGGTGTATAATCAGTTTTACTAACCAAAGCTTTATTTGAAAACTTTTTGTACAAATTGAATTACATGCTTGAATACTTTTAAGTCACTTTATAAACAAAATGCATAGCACTTAATTTGTTTATACTGTAAAATATATGTTAAATGGTTTTATCAATTTGAGAATAAAGATAGTTACTAATGCTGTTGTATTTTTATAACTTTAAAGAAGTAATCAAATATATATTACAAAACTATGATTTTAGCTTCAGATCTATTATTTGATAAATGTTTAAGCACTGGTAGACAGGCTTGTTTGAAGATTGAAGATTAGGCACATTGAATTTGTTCTTATGCTCTAGTAACTATGAAATTTACAATGAAAATGATTCATGATTAAAAATAAGGACTAGGTTCTTATTTATTCATACTAGGTTTATGTATTCAGAATAAAAGCTATACTCAGAAATACGACTCTCAGGGTCCAAGAGATGGCTCGGTGACTAAAAGCTGGTGAATACTCTGGGTAGTTTTAGCACCCACAGCTTGCCACAACCATCTGATGCCTCTGGCCCCATGGGCACCTGCATTCACTTACATGTACATACTCCCAGACAGCCACATTAATTAAAACATAAGAATAAATATTTTTTAAGTTTTTAAAGAGTTTCTTTTAAGCTAGCCAGTCATATTAGAAATCTATGTAAGTCAGAATAGTTTTTACGCCATAGAAATTATGGTAATCTACTACATTAAATAGGTTTTAGGAAACAGGTCTAGTTTAGTATAGTAATCTAGGTTACTTAAATATCTTAAAAATAGGCCTTGGTAAACAGTAAATAAGTTAATGCAACCTTATTTGTGCAAAATCTGTTTATATTTGAAGCCACTTTTAATATTAACAAGAGGTAAGAAAAGCCCCACTTGTGTGCTGGCCATAAACTCCTTTAATTAAGAAAAGCAATCCCAACACTCAGGAGGCAGAGACAGGTTGATCTCTGTAAATTCCAGGACAGGCTCCAAAACAATACTGAGAAACCCTGTCTCGAGGGGGGGGAAAAAAAAAAGGCCAGCATTTCTCAGAAACTGAAAGCTTATTCCTGGAACTAATAATCAGCCCCCCATCCCCAAAGTGTAAATACCTAAATCGTTTCAACAAGGAAGAAACTCTTGAAGGCACTTGGAAGAGCATGAAGCTACCTGGTGAGTAAGAAAGAGTGTGTTTAAAAAGGCTGGCCGGGTGTGATGGAACAAACCTTTAAGCAATTTAGAAGGCTAAGTCAGGAGGATTGGAGTTCAAGGCCTACTCAAGCTACCAGTGAAAGGCCAGCCTGGAAACTTAAATCTCATCTCAAAGTTAAAGGAGGCTAGCTGTACTAACTCAGTGGTAGAAGGCTTCCCTCCTGTGTGTGAAAGCCTCGGTTCGAATTTCAGTACCACCAAACACATTTTCACCTTAGAGAAACTAAAGAATGTATTCTATTTTAGTTTTTCGAGACAGGGTCTCTCTGTATTGCTTTGGAGCATGTCCTGGCACTTAAATTCAGAGACCCACCTGCTTCTGCCTCTGCCTCTCCAGTGCTGGGATTAAAGGCGTGCCCCACCAACGCCCGGCCTAAAGAATGTATTGTTATTCTTAATTAGTGTCCTCTATGTGTATAATGTATTTTGGTCATTTTCACTCCTCAGTACTCTTCCACTCTTGCTGAACCCCCTTCTCCCCAGCAAGTTTTGCTTCTCCTCTCATGTCTGTCTTTTCCTGAGACCCACTGAGTTTAACTGGAGATGTTTACAGGAGCAGGGTGGGAGGTTACTGAAGCATGGGCAGCTAATTAGTGGCAATACCTCTGGAAAAAATGACGCTTTTCCCCCAGCAAACAAACTACCAGTAGTTTAATAGAGATGGGTGTGGCGCCTGAGCCACATCCCCAGCCAGGATGGAATGTTTACAGCCCCATCCAGGGCAGATAAACACAGGTGCCATGAGTTTGTGAATGCAACAGGAGCCATGTCCTGCCCAGGTGGCAGCATTCCATAGCGCCCTTTGCCGTCCTCTAGCTCTTGGACTATTTATGCTGCCTCTTCCATGATGCTTACAAGCCTTGGAAGGAATGACGATAGATGTCCTGTTGAGAGCTGAGCATGAAACTGTTAACTCTCAGCACTTTTCCCAAATATTAGAGACTTGTCTCTTTTTCCTTCTGACTTTTCTAAGGAACCATTACTGAGTAGATGTTCTGAGTGTCGATAGATATTACCTGATTATAAGCATGATTAATGGGCGAAGATACATTTATTTTGAATCTCTATTATTCAAATTTTAAGATTCTCTTAAATAAAATACTACACATTTGTTAACTTTTTTTTGTTTTGTTTTGTTTTGTTTTTCGAGACAGGGTTTCTCTGTGGCTTTGGAGGCTGTCCAGAACTCGCTTGGTAGTCCAGGCTGGTCTCGAACTTAAAAGATCAGCCTGCCTCTGCCTCCCGAGTGCTGGGATTAAAGGCGTGCGCCACCAACGCCCGGCCACATTTGTAACTTAAACTGACATAGAAACACAACATAACTCAAATAGCCACAAAATTTAATTTGCAGATCTGTTTCTGATGAGAGCAGGAGAAAGAACCTGGACAGACAGTTAAGGTAGGAGACCCCAAAAGCAAATGTTCTTGGCTTAAAATCTGAAAATGGCTTTGGCCCTTTGCAGTTCTGTCCTTGCCAGAGCCAACAGGAGAGGCCCATCTCTCTCCCTAATGAGCAAGCCTGTCTGGAAGCTATGCCTAGCAGCCCTGGGCCAGCTCATGGTTGAGCCAGCTGTCTGGTTCATCCCCTCCTCACGCTCCAGTCTCTGCTGCAAATCCAATAAAAAGCCCCCACACTCGCAGCAGTAATTCCGTGTCCTCCCATTTCCCAGAATCTACTCAGCTACACAGGAACTCTGCCTCCTTTTAAGTTTCCATCTATGAATCTGATAAAACTTTCTAAACTCATCCTCTTTCACAGACTTCATTTACTAATGTCTACAACATCAAAGACCCAGAATGCTGCTTGGCCCAGGAGAATCTTGTTTTAGAGGTCAAATTCCATGTGCATGTTTCTCTGCCTCTTGTGCTACAAACCAAAGTCTGTGATTTAAAATGGCATGCTTGGTGAAGGGTTGTCTGTCACCTCAGTGCAGCTGGGAAATCCTAACTTCCAGAGTGGTGTAAATTAGCGTTACCTGAGTTTAGCCACTAGACAGTGGTAATGTGAAGAGTCTTACACCACATTCTGAAGACATGCAAGCGCAGATAAACTGGTGGCAGTGGAAGATTCTCAATGTGTATGAGGACAAGTCTACCTCTTCGTGGTAGGCAGAACAGGGCAATGCATGATTCTAGTGGGGGGGGTGGCACTCTGGCTTTGTAGGGCTTATACTTTTAAACAGTAAGTAAACTGGACAAATGAAGATCAAGGATACAAAGTCCAAGCTCTAGTTTTTGTGTTTTGTTTTTATTAGAGTGAACAGAAACAACACAGACGGGTAACATTTGGTGCACAGATACTGGTCTGACTGGTAACATTTGGTGCACAGATACTGGTCTAAAGGCCACAGACTGAATACTACTGAGAATCATCCAGTGTATCCATGCATTCAGCATAGCTTGAGTGAAAACACAGTTCCAGGTCACTTAATCTTGCTAAGCCCTGACTTAATGCGCTGGGCCAGCAGATAATAATGAGGCTTTCTATGATAGCTCAACAGTAGTGTACTAACCTCTCAAGAGCACTCAAATATTAGGTGAAACTGAGTAATGGCACATTTGCATATTAAATAGACTTTTTTCCCATTATCGTGCTAGTGTGTTTATGAATAGGGAAAAAGAACAAAAGAAAAGAAATGGTTTAACTGATAAATACATCTTTGAGAACCTGTCTAATGCTCCTAATACAGGCATAGTGCTTTGAAGATCCTTGACAAAATTCCATCTTTTCCAGGAAAATGTACCCTCTTCCACTGTGCTAGCCTTGTTAGTGGGTGAAGAACCAGGGGGCACATACGAGAAGTCAGAAGTATACTTCACCCAGCCATGTCTGCAGCCAAGTACGTCATGGCCCATACTGAAGAACTGCTGAAGCAATATGTACCGTCTGTCAGCTCAGAGTCTCAGTGACTACAGACATTCTGCTCTTTAATACTGTATTTACCATGTCCAGAGGCACTACTCCAGTAATGAAGTCCGGTCAAGTTTTTAAGGTTATATGAACAGAAAGCAGTCAGACCTGGACCCCAAAGTAACAACAGCTATAACAAAAAAAACCTTTTAGATGACCAAAAAGCCCTTAAACTAAGAAACAGCACTACCATAACAGAAAAGATAGCCCTAGAAAAATGTCAGCATTGGGATCAAAGAACTCCATGGCTGAGATCAACTGATTCTAAATAAAATCAAGATTTCCACACAACTTTAATCCCAGTACTCAGAAGGCAGAGGCGGGCGGATCTCTGTGAGTTCGAGGCCAGCCTGGTCTACAGAGTGAGTTCCAGGATAACTTCCAAAGCAATACAGAGAAAACCTGTCTCAACCCCCCCCCCAAAAAAAAAAAAAACAACACATTTACTCTGGCCAATACAATTATGGTTTCTGGTGCTTTCTAAGAGTCGTGAAATGTCAGTATACTGCACTTCATATTGCTGCCCCAAGGAGGGAAAGTGAAGAAGACACAATGTAAAACACCCCTGGAAGAGAATGGGTGGGTGGGGCGGGTGGACGCAGCGGAAGGGAAGGGTTACAAGCTGGGAAGTGTGTGTCTGGTAGGCAAAGGAATTTCCTCATATGTTATTTTGACAAAGGGGAATTTCATAGGTAGAAACCAATATTCAAAGTTATAAAACAGGTAGAACTCTCTGTGCATAATCACTGAATCAAAAATTTTCAAGAGACTCAACAGAAATTCTTTAGTTGACAGATGTGGTTTGAAGAGGGCATAAAATTTTCTTATGGCTGAAGCCAGAGTCTTGTTTCCTTTTGGCCCAAAAATAGATGTTTCATTTCCCAAGTAAGTAGGTTCTCCACTGTAAAGAAATATTCTTGTATAGTTTGTTTCTATCTTCTTGAATTTTGCTCCAAATTCAGCCAATTTCTCATATGTTCTTAACACAAATTTTGAACAGTCGTAGGATTCAAACCATGTCTCCACCCCTTTTCCTGGGCTGGCCTGGACGGTCCATGTCTCATAGTAAATACCTGTTTCATTGTCCTGTTTCACCCACTCTGCCATTTTGTTAAATGTGTTCCCTGGTTTAGAAAAAGCAACAAAAACAAACTGCTTATAAAACGTTCTGAGACCCAGGTAAGACCAGAATGAATGACTAAGAAATACTTTAAAACTTCAAAACCTGTATCCCACAGCAGCAATGCAAGCTTAGCTACATTTTCTTCCATTCTTCAAGGCCTTTGAATTGCAAATACAAGATATAATGGGGATCTAAAGAGAACTCTTAAAATTCTACAGTTACTTAAGCTGTGGTCAAAGTGATAGTCAAGAGTATGACGATATGTATGCAATACCTAAGTTTTCTCTCTTCAGCAAGTCTTGGATTCAGAAGCAAACGAGAAAAGGGAAGCAAGACCCGGAAGACAGAAAGTGAAAGACAAGACAGTGTAAGAACGAGCAGGAAGAGCAAGCTGATGAGCTGGCAAAAAGGCATCATGGGATGCTTAGCATGATGGGATGCTTAGTAGGCATGGCCGCTGAGATGCAGCCGCTCCTGCCTAAGCCACATGCAGCCTCTCATCTGTGCGAACACCGCTATTCCCTTTTCTCCCTGTATTACGGTTGCTGGGATACCGCTGACTACCCACCACACAGATTCCTCTAACCAGTCAACCAAACTGGACACGGTTGGTGCTGGATTCACAGACTACACAGACTCCTGGGTGGCTAAGTCTTCTACCACCGTCTTGCACCAGATCACAAGACTGTCTCCGAATACTTTGAGTGCTGCTGCTATTCTGCGTGGTACAACCCGCATCTGGGCACCTGCAGACACAGCAGATGTAGGCCCCCAAATCTCAGCAGCAGCAAGCCTTTCCTGCGTAACTCCAGTCCAGGTTTATGATTTCAACAGCAAGTCTGTCAAGGGAGTCCACTGGGTGTCAACTACTTTAGGGAAATAAAACTGCAGGGTCTGCTTCAGAACTGGAGGCACAGTTCTTAGTCACTTGGAAAAGCTGGACTTGCAAGACACTGTGTCGTAACATCCAGAAAAGGTCACAGGCAGGATTAGTCATAGGCAAGATGAAAAATGGATGTGCAAGCTTGAGACTGACCAAATGAGAGTGTTTTACAGAAGTGTGGCTGCTTCATATGATTATCAGCTTACGTGAGGAGAGAGGAAGGTTGAACTAGCTTGGAATGTCAGACAGACCACTCAGTGTTGCTGAGAGACGGGCTTTCCTGGCTGGGATGTTTGGGTCACATGAATTAGAAAGTAGAAGGAAAGACTAGAAAAGCAGTACCGGTATTAAAAGACTGCAGGATGCATTTAAAAGACCTTGACTGTAGACATGGCCTGTCTTATCCACTGACAGAAAGGGTCAGTCACGTCACTGCTGAGTTCGCTTCCTTACCTGTAAAATCCAAGGGAGGTCTTACCCTTCCCACCGAACAAACAGAAACTCTGAAAGGTTCCTCAAGTCCTGGGGCTTGTGGAATAATTAGCATCAACAAACAGAGCTTTCATTCACCACTCTGCTTCTGCAGACAACCACCAAGGTACATAAAGTGTGTGTGTGGGGGGGGTATAATACGAGCAGGCCCTGAATTCTCCACAAGAAGCAATGTACCAGTAAGGTAAATGTGACCCAAGTTCACATTATTAGCTATTGACAAAAAAGTTCTGATGATAAGAGAATCAACAATGCATAAAGCAGCGAATGCAAAATTACAGTGTGTCATTAACTTCCCAGATGAACACTTAGGCATCGCTCAAGAGGACTTGAAATGTACTGGAACATAAATATCTGGGGAGGCCGTGCACCAAAACTGTTAAGAGAATGGTCTTGTAGGGCTTTCCTATCAAGGCTGGAGTCCATGGCTTTCCCATCTGCACAATGGAGAAAATGCTGAAGAGTCTCTCAGGAGTCTGGGATACCGGTTGAGTGACATGCTGTAAGAATAGCATTCAGAACAGGGCCAGACCCAGGGGAAGCAAACCCTTAATATTTCTTCACCTAAGAATAATCTACAGCCACTATTTTTTTCAGATACAGTAAGAGGCCTTCCTAATGGTTTCCCCTATCTGTTATCTATTGGATTTCATTTGGCTATACACAGCATTTGTTTCATTCATGTTAGTCATGGGCAGAGCAGAAGATGAGCCAGGCATCTCCTGCCAAGGCTCTGCATCGGGATCCATTTGGTTCAAGGGTAACGGTACCAGAAACGCGGACTACGCGTGATCACCCTGAGGCAGACTATGACAGAAATCTCAGTGAACGGATGTATCTTCCATTGTGTATCGATGCAGTCATCAAACTACTGTACTTCTGAAACTTACCTGACATGGTCGCGACTAGAGTTAATGACCCATTTTCCTTCCAGTGCTTATCATCAATTCCTTCAAAAAAGCAGGCCGCTCCTTGGTTACACCAGAAGGGAGCCTCCATCTCAGGTCGAAGGTGAGGGAATGTACAGTTGCCAAGCTGAAACAGCTCATACCATTCCATTGTGTACTTCTCGCCAGTCAGGGTATTCCTGAATCCGAGAGCATCGTGCATAATCTTCTGCGGAGAGATACAACAGTGTAAAAGCATCTGTGAAGTAACCATGGAACCAGGTTGCCTCTTGGGAACGTTTTTTGTCCACCACAAACACACACCAAGCAGAACAACTGCTTGAGGGGCTAGCTAAGCTTCTATGTCATCAGCCTTGTGGTTGACACGGAGGTCCCTCAAACTGTAGGCACCCAACACTACGGTTTGGGCAGCTAGGGCTCATTTTGGCAGGGATGTGAGCTATGTGAAGACACTTGGAAATTTCCTCACAGCTCACAGTAAGCATGAAAAGCCATCATGAATGTTCAGAAAGGAGTGCACCTGTGTCCCAGGGTGATTCACTGAGCTGGGAAAGGGCTTAGAGCAGAGCTTAGAGATCAAAAAGTGATTCCTGCCCGCCATGCCCTTCTCATTCCCAGGAGCTCCGTACAGGAGAGTTTACATTGTTGCCATGTAGCTCCTCCTGACAACACTTGGACTCTTAAAGCCAATAGATACAAACTCTTTATTCACAGGCCAGAGGCTACATACGGAACTTGCCCAAGTCGTGGAGTCACAAGGCTACCACTCTTGGCCTCTTATGCACAAAAACATCCTGGTTAATTAGCAAGAACAGCAATAAATGGAGCTACAGAAACAAAACAGCAATAGTTGCACATTCAGGGACTTTCCAGAACTATGGACTATAATAGATTGTGGGTTTTTGTTCTCATTTTGGCATGTGTTGGGATCTACATGCCCGGCTCTTAGGTCAGAATGGTGTCTTGGTGCCTCTAACATGGTGTCAGTTGTGCTAAGGTCTGGGGGCCCTTTACAAGATCCTTCATAGTATTAAGGCCAGTACACTTGTTACTTGCTGTAGGTTTTGCTTTGTTTTTGAGACAGTCTTATCATGTAGCCCAGATTGGCTGAAATAGTAATTCTCTTGCTTGGTCCTTCCAAGTGCCAGAATTAAAAGTATGCAGTACCATTCAGACAATGGTAACTCTTTCTGACTACCAACTTACAGGTGCTAAGAAGTCTTATCATAGGCTGGGGAGATGGCTAAATGGGTAAGAGTGCTTGTATGCAAGTATGAAGAACTGAGTTCAAATCCTTAGCACCCACCTGAAAGCCAGGCATTGGCACTTGTATCTGTGGCCCCAGTATTGAGGGGAGGAGACAAGCTCGCTGGCCAGGCAGTTTAGATGAACATATAAGCTTAGGGACCAGTGAGAGACTCTGTCCCAAGGGAGGAATTTGGAGAGTGACATCCAACATGCTCCTTCAGCCACACACACACACACACACACACACAGCACACATACAAGGTGTGTCAATAAATACGACCTAGTAATCATCTGATTACTCATTTAAGTCAAAGTAATAACTAAGTTACTTACAAAGTGTCCCAGGAGGTCTCCATATTTAAATTCCCAGACAGGGGTTTGTAGTCTTAAGACTTCGATGATGTCATTGTCCTTCATCACCGGGATGGGAGAGCCAGTAGGACAGAAGGTATACTTAGCTTGACAGTAGGGATCTGGCTTCGGACGGAAAGAGAAGCGTCTAGTAAGAAACAAACCATCGAATCAGATCATGAAAGAAACTGCTACTCTAGCACACTTTAGAATCCCAATTTTCATTTCAGGCTCTGCTCTCTGCTTTCTTTGTGTGTGTGTGTGTGTGTTTAAATGTAGTATGTGCACATGTACAGGTGCCTTTCCTTGATGGCTTTACAAGTTTACTTTGTGAAACAATCTCTCACTAAACAGACTAGCCAATGAGCTTCAAGGGTCTGCCTTCCTCTGCCCCTCCCTCCATAAGGTTAGGGTTACAGAGCACTTCCATGTTGGTCTCTATCTGAGTGTGCTCTCCTCAATCCTCAGCAATACTTAAGAAAAATATTTGAAGCTTAGATCATGGTGACAAAACATAAATGTGCATTTTACTTGTTTTCATATATGCATGCTTCCAATGATGTGTTAAATATCAAATCATAAAGTAGACTTGGTATCCGAAAATAAACATTCAACTCATTTTTACTGAGGATCTACCGTGTACAGGACCACACCGAGATGAAAGGAAAAAAAATTAAAAGCCTCTTCCCTTCCTCTCCAAGTTTGGGGTTGGGACTTAGCAGATGTTAAGTCAGACAGCAGCTGTGGTAAGAGCTAAACTAAGGAAATAGTGACCTAAGTCACAAAGGAGGAAGAAATCAGCTTCAACCGTTGAGGGTGGGTAGTACTATTAGAAGGCACTGGAAAAGAAAGCTAGACCAGGAGGAAAGAGAATTACCATAAGACACACAGGAAATATCTTAGTGGTTCTCAACCTTCCTAATGCTGCAACATAGTTCCTCGTGTTGTGGCGACCCCAACCATAAAATTATTCCGTTGCTATTTCATAATTTCACTACTGCTATGAATTGTAATGTAAGTATCCGATATGTAGGATATCTAATAGGAGGTTCCTGTGAAAGGATTATTTGACCCCTAAAGGGGTCACGACCCAGAGGTTGAGAACCACTGAAATATATGACGTCTCCAACAACTGCAAGCAAGAGTTCAGGTCTCGCCCGGCGGTGGTGGCGCACGCCTTTAATCCCAGCACTCGGGAGGCAGAGGCAGGTGGATCTCTGTGAGTTCGAGACCAAGCCTGGTCTACCGAGTGAGTTCCAGGACAGGCTCCAAAACAATACAGAGAAACCCTGTCTCGAAAAACCAAAAAAAAAAAAAAAAAAAAAAAAAGCGTTCAGGTCTCAAGAGCAGACAGGGGCTAGCAAGTCTGTCACAGGAACTATGAAATGATTTCCTACAGCCCCTGGCATGGGGACCTTGAGCCCTGAATGAGTCAGGGCATTTAAAAAAGTAAATCTGATCAGGCCGAATAAACCCGAAAGCCATCATTATTGTACTAATTAGAAGAATCCGAGGGGTTAAAAACAGGCTGAGACCAGTCAGGAGGCTGCAAGGATGCTAAACCCTCAGAAGGACACCAACTGGGGCAGACTGGGACCAAGGCTCAGCACACTTGTCCCCTGGCCACCTCCCAGGCCTGGCTGCACTTGTGTACAGGCCAGAGGAAGAGCACTAACATCCCAAAGGCTCCAGCCAGAGCGTGATATTACAGTCTTAACACAGAAACAAAACCTTCAACTGGCTTAACGAGCATACAGGTATGTGGCGCCTCATAACCCTCAGAAAAATCTGCTTTAGGTCAAAGGTGAGTTTATGAGTAGAACCCAAGTGAAAATTTCAGAAAGGTAAATATACCAGTTGTCAGGAGCGAGTGTCAAGCCGGAGCTGCTTTGGAAGCAAAAATCAGTCAGCCTCCTTGTCCTGGCATTAAATAAAATTTAATTTAATTTAATTTCAGATTTGCAATCTCTTCCTTGCTTTATTGAATATTTTAGTTTTTATTTCTTGTAAATATTTTCATGAAAACCAGCTTCGACCCTAAACCTTCTTTTCATATACATTAAGCAGAACCAGTTCACGAACATAACACGAATATTTAAGTTTGGCAACAGCTGGTTTTCACTGGAGACGTGATTCTGCCACTGACAGTGTTACTACCATTTCCTGTTTTCTGGTCAGAGGAATGTGAGCATGAAGATACTGAGTAATTTTCCTAAGAGCACGCCGAGGATGACCTGGTCCAACAAACTGATCTGCAGACTTTAGCACCAAGAACTCCCTGGAAGAACATGCCACCCTTCATCGTGCCATCATCTTTCAAAAGCCGTTTCCTTCCACTTAGTGATGTCCACACCGGGGGTGGGGGCTCCACCCATCTCCAAGCCCCCCTGGTGCTTCGCAATCTCCCACGGGCTGTCAAAACTTTGCTAGATCAAAGACCCCAATGAGCTTCTGAGGTCCAGAGCCAGCACCTCCAGGTAGAAGTGGACTAACGAGGTGATCCTGACTGTGCGTCCCAGGGAGGAGAATTCCCAGGTTTGGAATGGAGCAGTAAGATTGGGACACCCAAGGCACACGTGGGCCGGCTACCTCCCTGTAAACTCAGCAGATGTCATGCAGAACAGCCAACGATAAAGCGAGAAATCAACGTAGTATTTCAAATGCGTTTTAGCCTGCTACCCGAGTCAGTTAGTTGTACCTAAAAGTCACTCGGTGCAGGGAAGTCACCGTCCGTCCCTCCCAGGACTCGGGACTGGCCCTGAATCAGTGGGGACCTCAGTTTGCAACTAGCTAGGAACTGCGCTCCCGGTGTCCGCCTGCGCCCCGCGTCCCCAAGCACACGGAGTCACGGGCTCTGCGTCCCCCCAAGTCCCCGACGCTCCCCGCTCCGCCTCACTCACTTGTAGGGCACTGGCCAGTGGCGCCCCGACGTCGGGGACGCGCTCAGGGTCGCCGCCAGCCCCAGCAGCGCCAGCGCCAGCGGCCAGCGCCACTCGGCTCCGCGTCGCCCGGCGCGCGCCATGCACGGTTCCCTGAGATTCCCGGGGGCTCCCGGGCCCGCGTCGGCCCAGCGTGCGCGCCTCCGCGACGGGACAGACGGGCGCGCGCGCCGCCGCGGGCGCGTGACCTCCAAGCGCGTGACGCCTCTACCAGTCCTGGCCTGGCCCCGGCACCTCTGCTCCATCGCGCGTGCGCCGGAAGGAAAAAAAAAAAACCAACAACAACAACAAATTGCTGGCCTCCCGGAAGAAGATTGGGGCTGGCGATGCAAACCTCGCTGCGACCTGGGTTATATAGTGTGAGGCTGATTCTCGAAGAGTCTCCTGTCAAAGGTTCAAGATGTTTCACCCTTGCTGATAAATTTTCCCAAACAAAAATCCGGGTCTGTAAATCTCAGGAGACAAAGTTTCCAAGTGACTAAAAGAGTGGGATTGTCATCATGACAGCTCAACTTCTAGCAGGGTAGGAGAGAGATACTATTTCCTAGTCGTTCTCGGGCTGATTTTGATCTGACTTTTACTTCAGGGTGGTGACTAGCCAGGCACGTTTTTAAACTTCAAGCTAAGCTTCACTCTCGCATTTATAATTACATGAACACAGAGAGTCGTGATTCCTGAAAAGGGTCTCCAGGTGCCAAAGGGTTGGGCAGAGCACGAATCCTTGACGGCAATTTCCCCACCACATATTTAACGCAGGAGCCAAGGATATTTGCTGATGTTAACTAGAAATGAACGATCTCATCAGAGGTTTGTAGGACTTGGATATTTTATTAATCCCAATGGCAAGAATAAGGCCACCAGCACAATTTGAGCCAAATTTGAAGCGAGCTTCATTTTATTGAGGTGTTTCTAAGAGCTGACCAGCAACTACCTCCCAAGTTAAAGAGAGCAGTCCATTTCTTGGGCCCTCTTCAAGGAGTAAAATCACAAGTCGTTGCAAAGCAGGTTTACAGAGGAAAGAGAATGGGACAATACATCATGTGGTCACCATGTAATTAGGGAAGCCTCCAGGAGGGTCAGAGAAGATAAGTCAAGGTCATGAGTGGGGAAGGTCGGATTCCAGGAAACAGAGAGCAACTCGGCTCTCACAGTAAATTGAAACTTATTTTTAACAATACAGCATAATGGCCCCTGCCTTCAAAATGGAGTCAGACAGGTTCCTCAGTACTTACCGGTTTTCCAGGAGCTTAGCAACCCTAAACAAGTACATCAGCTGTATTACAGCCTCTGATTTTAGATACTTAGTGACAGTTTCACTATCTGTCACAGCGTAATTAATTGGGTGCTATGTCAAGGATGATCTTAAAAGCACAATCTAATCTAGGGTTGAATTTAGTCAAGTTAGAAATTACAGTGCCACGCAGAAGGGAATGGATGGGGTACACCTAAAACCCCAACTCCAAAGCAAGAAATTTAGGATTTACAATCTTTGACTACTTACACTGAGTCTTTTAGCAGTTCTTTAAGCTTGTACTAATTTACTGAATATGATCTTTACTTTTATCTTAAAAAGTTCATCAGTATTTCTCCAGAAATCAGTGTTATAATATGTCTCGAGGTGGGGCCATGGTGAGGACCATGCGGATGAGGGACAGACATTCCAGGAAAACAGAGATTTTAAGGGGGAGTTTTATTGGGGGAAAGGGAAGGAGTGGAGAAAGGGGAGGGGGGAAGGTCCTGTCTACCCCTCAGAGGAACAGCAGGGGAAAGAAAGAGAGAAGTGGGCGGGGTTTGCCTCTTAAAGGGACCTTTGCACCGGTGTGTGCAGACTATGCAGTGATGTAGCAGCCACAGGACCCTGGGCTGGCCAGGGTACTGCCTGAGTGCATTCTTCCAGGTGACAGGGGGCAGGCCAGAAAAATGCCTGAATCCTAGCAACCAGCTTCAGAACAAGTATTTCTCTCTTCTTTGTGTGATCTGATAAAACATTTTGTCTGGTCATGGTGGTACATCTGAAATTCCAGAACTCAGGAGGCAGAGGCAGGAGGATCTAAAGTTTGAAGACAGCCTAGGCTATAGAGCAATACCTCGTCTCCAAACAAAACTTAAGGCTACAACAAACAAAATCTGGACAGAACTCCTGCACTAGGCACTAGGGTGCAACAGACCAAACCAAAATGGAATTGCTTGTGCTATGAGTTGTGCGAACAGAGTGAATTAAATTTTACTTATGTGTATGGGTGCCGGAATCCAGTTCCAGCGGGAGTTCAGGTCCCAACCGGAGGTGTGGATTCCAAAAGGTCAAGGAGGAGACTGACAAGGTCTGAGAGTGAATTGGGTTCGCTGCCACTTTTTGAAAGAAAGGCTACACAATTTTTTTATTTTTTTATTTTTCGAGACAGGGTTTCTCTGTATTGTTTTGGAGGCTGTCCTGGAACTCGCTTTGTAGACCAGGCTGGTCTCAAACTCACAGAGATCCGCCTGCCTCTGCCTCCCGAGTGCTGGGATTAAAGGCGTGCGCCACCAGCGCTCCGCAAGACTACACAATTTTATACTCTATCCTTGCACATAGGATTAAATGGGAGGGAGGGGGCGGGCATGTGAGCTGGGGTGTGGCTGGAGATCAGGGACTGAGGAAGCTAGCTAGCACTGACCTTGACAAGGTAATAGGCACCGGTCATATGTCAATGAAAGGGTCACAAGTTCCTCATGACAGAGATAAGAATGACTGACGCCCTTTTTAGCAAGCAGGAACTTTCTTCAAACCCCAGAGGGAATGGGACTTTTGTCTAAATTCCTGACCTTGGGAAAAGGCCTTACTTGAGGGAACAGACATGCCATTATAGAATACTGTAGTTTTTTTGTATAGCTTAGTTTATCCAAATAGCTAGAGCTTAAAATGGGTAAAGATGACAAATATTACTGTGAACTTGAATAGACCTTAGGAATTTATAAATCTTGTTTATCAAATATACCTTATTTATTAAGCATATAACAGCTTGGGGCTAACTTGTGTGGGAGTAGGCAGAGTTATCAAGCTATATGGTTCCGAGGTGTGGGGATTTTTTTCCTCCAAAGAATTATTATTTTTTAAGAGCCTGCAATTTTATGCATTTCCATCCTTCGAAGCCCACACAGAATTTCCCAAAGGAAAAGGCATAAGGGAACTCTGTAACACATAGTAAGAGTCATTAAAAAGAGGGTGCTGGAGAAGCAGGATCCACGGAGTCAGAAGGCGAGACCTTTGCCTTGGAGTCCACGCCACATGGGTGTTTTACCTGCATGTATGTCTGCACATCATGTTCGTGTAGCAGATCTCCCCTGGAACTGAAGTTACAGATGGTTCTTTACCACCTGGGGAGCGCTGGAAACCGAACCTAAGTCCTGTGGAAGAACACCCAGCGCTTGTAGCCACTGAGCCAAGTCTCCAGCCTAAACAAAGTGAAGACACAGGGAAACACCCTGAATTGGTGACTTTTAGCAACCAATCGAAAAGAGCCCAGTCAAAGTGAGTTGGTATAATAAACAGGCCCTTTATGGTCAACTTGACTAGACTTAGAATTAAGGCGGAGAACATGTTTCTGAGTGTATCTTGACAGTGTAGCCAGACAGCTGGACTGAAGACAGAAGACTCGCCCTGTGAAAGGTTCAGGCATTACGCTGGCCTGCCCTGTTACCTGGCAGGATGCACTCACGCAGGTACAAAGGACCCCTTTAAAGGACTGACCCTGCCCGCTTCCGCTCCTTTTTCACTCTTGTCTTACTCCCATCTTTCTCTCTCTTCTCTCTTATCTTCTCTCACTCTCTCTTACTCTCGTCATCTCATCCTCTCTTACTCTCATCCTCTCTCTGTCACGTCTGTCTCCCCCCCTTTTGGTCTCGCTATAATAAACTACGGGTAATGTGCTCTCCATGGCTTGTGTTCCGTCCATCGCGCCGGTCCTTATTCAATATTTAACAGCACCCTGAATGTGGGCAGAAGTGCCCCATGGGTTTGCCCCTGGACTGGATAAAAAACGAAAAAGCTACCTGAGCCCCGGCAATCACCTCTCTCTGCTTCCTGACTACAAATGTAATATGCCCAGCTGTCATATGCGCCACCACCATGCTCCCTGCCATGATGGACTATACACACCTGAGCCAAAACAAACTTCCTTCCTTAGCTGGCTTTGTTAGGTATTTTGTCATAGCAACATTGTAATCAATGCACCCTCTACTTGAACTCTTTCAAAGTAACCTGATGTTATCCAACCCACTTTTGGAATTTCTGTTGTCTTTTACCCAAGTTACCTTACAAAAGCCGGTCTCTGTGCCATGCCAGCAAATCTATTTTAGATGGGATGCTGCCCTGCTTATGATTCACTAATGAAAGCCAAATAGATTTCAAGTCTATTTGTAGATATATCTTCAGACAAAATTTGTTGATATGATCCAATAGATTTAGCTTAACGTTGAATTTCAATACACAAACCGGCTCTGAAAGCCAGTGCCTTACTGAAGTAAGAACTTTACCATCAAGCAACACCCCATTTTAACTACCCATGTCAAAGAAAATGACGCGCGCGAAACCATTCAGTGAGCAAAAATATGTTAATGTCAAAGTTTTGACAGAGATGACATTTGCTATATGGTAGTATCCTACAACAAACCTAGGGGTTGCTTTCGGAATTCAGACCTAGGGAATGTTGGCTCAGAGACTCTGACACCATTCTCAGTGTTACATCCGGTAGTGACAGAGGCAGACCTTACCTCCAACACCCAGAGCCGGACCAGAGTAGTTTCCTAAACCCATTGTTTTTATGCCCCTACTACTAAGATATCCATCGACATGACGTGTTTTCACAGACCACTGCTCTTACCTCTGCTTCCTACAGTTGTCACGTGTAGTGTCCCTTTCTTTCCCAATCTGAGCCTCCGACATGGCCTGTAAATATCCTGCCGGGTCAAAGGCTAGAACAGCCTTCCAGGTGTGCAGCGTTCCACCCAAGACTGTGAGCAGCTCAAGTTAGGCTCTGGTTGAACGCAGATTCAGGGTGTTACTAGACTCTGGAAACATAAGGCCACAGTGATTTTCTTGTGGAAGACACGGGGCTAATAACTTAATGGTCCAATAATAGAAGCAGCATTCCTGGAG